GCGTTAAATAACCGACCTTTAACATATCTCGAGGACGATATTGAATTACCAGCGCTGACACCTAACTCGTTGCTTCAGGTCAATGCAACGTACGTTCCTGAAGAAGAGGCACATCACATTGCCGAGAAAGATTTGAGAAAACGTGCAAGGTTCCTTCGAAGATGCAAACAAGCAGTATGGGACAGATGGAGTCGTGAATATGTCCGTGGCCTGCGTGAACAACACCGCCAAACTGGAAACAAGAATGCTGTGCATCCGAAGATCGGAGAAGTCGTGATTGTTCGAGAAGAAAACAAACCAAGAAATACGTGGAGAACTGCTGTTGTGACAAGATTAATTACGGGAAAGGACGGAGTTGTACGGGGAGCAGTGGTGAAAACAGGCAAGGGTACATTGGAGAGAGCAGTCCAACATTTATTTCCCCTTGAATTGTCTTGCGATTTAAACAACAACCAACAACTGAACCCTGATGCCACAGACTTCCACCCAAGACCAAAGAGAGCTGCTGCAGAAGCTGCGAGAGTTGCTATTAGAGAACTTGCTGAGAACGAACAGTCGGACTAGCACGATGTTCAAACTTGATAGTAAAGTTGGAACTGATGACTATAATTACATTATTTAGTGTTTACATTTGCGTTATAAAGTCTGAGAGTGCATGTATGTCTCGGACAGAACATACATGGGGGAGTGTGTCGGAGACTTTACCTCAGTCTATAGTTAAAATAGTAATAGAACACGTGAACTCCACGCGCGATAGCGTGATACATAGTTTTCCTTTAAAACAGGAATTTTTGTTATTGTGAGACTTTGACTGCGAAACCATTGTAAAAAATGTGATACGAGAGTGATTTGAGATATTATATATCAAAAATACAACTAGTGATTTGTTGGTGATACTCAAAGCAAAATTCCCAACACTTCTTCAATTTCTTTTATATTTAAACCCGAATAATGTAAAATGATAAAATAAAATAACCATAACATCAATAAAGCTATTAAAAACTTAACCGAAAATGGCATTTTACTTTCAAATATATAGCGTATATACAATCCAGAAATACCTGTAAAACGACCTTCATCATGTTGTAACCTTGACTAAAAAATAATAAAAACACACCATGTTCATATATGGGCATACGCCCATATATAGTCACACTATTCTTTCCATAGTTGCTAAAACACATATAAACTCATATAAACACATATAAACATAAATTGTGTTACCATAACGTCGATGACCATATATGGTCATAGACATTTCTACTTGAAAAACATCGATGACCAAATATGGTCATAGACATTTCTACTTGAAACCTACACGCATACATTTCTATTACATTTCACTACTGATACTCGAAAGACACACGCAAAATATTAAACAAAGCGAATATACTATAAAACTCTTAAAATGGATGCAGAATTTTAAAGATTTGCAAGCCTATCCGGAGTTAATATTGATGACGAAACTGATATTACACCATTTGCTGAAGATTACTGGGATTTTAAACATTTTGCAACACAATTTCCACAGAATATATTCGAGTTAAACTTCATCAAATGGCAACTATCGAAGAAAAACATATCAACCACATCACCCGACGTCAAAGTTCTGTCACCTCAAACAACGGTATTACCCGTAAAACTACAAAAATTAAAAAAGCAAATCAACAACGATAGTCAATTTATAAATCTTACATTTCAAGAACCGAAACAACCAGAAGAGCAACGCCCCGGTGAATGTGTAGACAACATAGAGACACTCGAATCACTCATTACATATCTCGACAATCTTCCCGAAACAATGATTCCCACAACCCCTACAACGGCAACACCTGTAAACACCCCCACCCATCGCAGTAGGGGTAAAGATATCAACCTAGCAAAACAAGTATACGAGACAGAATCAACAACCGCAACAACAAAACCCAAAGTGACCCGAAAACGTAAACGCGATAGTGGTAGACCCACAAAGGATGAAACATTAATACGTATAGACGATGAAGATTTATGTGCCCTACAACTATCACGCCGTGAACTAACTTTACCCGACACAAAAGGTAAATGCAAAAAATCCAAAACAATCCTTACAAAACTCAAACAAGATATCACAGTTACCACAATGAAACAATTCCAAACATACGAACTATTCGCTGACACACGAGCAAAAGCCCTAGATACCATTCGAGAGAATCGGGAGCTTTTGGAGAAAATCAACGCCGCCGAATTTGTACTAACATCGCTACTAAAAAAACAATCGGAAGAGGATAATAATCATAATGACAGTAACTAGAACACAAAAAAACATTTTTTTAAAAATATTGGTAATATATATTAGTAGTTTTTTATGTATGTAAATAAAAATCAATAAAAATTTATTACTGTCTTATATTGTTGAAATATATTATTAACATTTTTTAAAACCTTTAAAAAATGTTAAAAAAACATGAAACATAACCATATTAACCCAAAACTGTGGAGTTTGCATGTAAATCAATGTGTAAACAAAGCAAACTGTTACTGTGTACTGGGTTTTTTGAAACGGTCTGTAGGACCGAAAAATTATCAACTGTTTTCCAAACTCTACAAAAGCCTTGTGCATCCCATCTTAGAGTATTGTTCTCCAGTCTGGTCCCCTCACTTGAAGGACATTAATGTACTGGAAAAGGTGCAGAGAGGAGCATGCAGGTGTGCCTTAAGAGGTAAAGGAGGGGCAATTGCTAGATAGTAT